GGATTTGAACAAGGGACTGCGGGGTTTCCGGCCTGGTGCACTACAGACTGAGCTACATGATTTGACTACTGAAAAAAACTTTTATTTCGATTTAATCACCAAGTCTGTGAAACCGCCACTATCTTAGACAGTCAAAATGATAATTATACTGAGGACTGTGTTTTGGCGATAGTTGAGCGAACAAAAAAGCCACATGTGTCCTTAAACTTTTCATCATCTTGTCATTCAATTGGCTTACAACCGTTCGGTTCTTGAAGTTTTCTGCCAAGTAATAAAAATACCAAATTTGAAGGGAAATATAGCCTTGTGTCAGACAGTCGATTCATTGACTGTGAAGCGGGTGATACCACGAAAATTGACTGCAGAAGTATGAGCAAGAAAACCGAGGCGTAATAAATCCAAGTATGACAGCCAAAAGGTTTTGTCAGACACCTTAGGTAGCAGAGAAGGGAAAACATACTATATTTAGCTCAGGTTAGCAACTAAATCTCAGCTAATGCTTTTTCCTTCGTTAGTTGGCTGAAGACAATTGGCAGGAAGCCTTGCTCCACTTGAGTTTCTTGATTGCAACTGTAAACTCAACAGAAGAAATTCGAACCCTGCAGTTAGAGATGTTACCACTGATCTATTTAAGTGGTGATTGACTACCTACAGGACTTTATTAGATACACTGATTGGCAACTCTCCAAATATAGCATCACTAGAGCACTCTGGAACAGCAGTATTGTAAGATATAAAATAACAACAATGTGCCATTAGTTCTCTTATTAGGTTGAGAATCTTCATAGAGTGGAGTTGGAAGAAATCTCTACATGTCTAGAGCGGGAAGTGGTTGATCTTAACGAAAACGCGGACTTCTTGTCAAAGATATGAAAGGCGGTGAAAGCTACTTAGTTGTGGGTATTCATGGTGTTTAGGTTCCAGTGACTGTAAAACTCTTATATTCGATTAGAATGGTTTGGGCCTAAACTCATTTTATCATCTACATTTTGTCTACTTCAGTATCACTCTTCATTTGTTCTCCTATTCTTTGAGTGGCACCAAAATAGGATTGATGAATATAAGTGAAAAGTTCTACGTTGAGCTAACTACCTGTCTTAGATTGATAGTAAATCAGCTATGTAGTAGATCCTGATGTCATCACTGCTAATTGGAATGCACGTACATTAAATCGATGAGTCTCAAGTGAGATGAAATACTCATCTTGGATTCCACTGTTAGCCATCAGCATAATACAGCAGTTAAAGGCGATGTCGAGGTATCTGTGCTACAGCATATGTACCAATACTGGCCGATCAGTTGATTCCGACTACCGGAAAAGAGGTGTATCTCTTACCTACTGTGACTTCTATCGTTTGTTTGAAATTATCGACATTTTGAAACAGATTTCTTCAGCACACATTCCAGTGAACTTGTGTGTCATATGTATGTTAAGTTGGGTTTTGGTTCAGAGTTACTAACCCAATAGATAGTAGTTTGTCACTTATAATTTCCCGTTAGGATACAGGGTTGAAGTGGTGGACCTCTGTTGGCAGATGAACTCTCATGTGAACCCCTCGGTGAGACTCGCCGGCCGAATGTGCCCGCGCCCCACTGAGTGATGTTATTCCAATTTGGACTGGAGCCCAGTACCAATTGCTTCAAGTGCCGGAGTGTTATCCACTAGTTCACTGAGGGATGGCAGTTACCTCTTGCACAGTGGTTTTCAGTTTTTATTTGATGATTGTAATTTCCTGTGGCCATACAAGACCAAATCGTTCCACCTCTGTTGGAATACATCAAACAACAACTGGTACTGGTTCCACAAGAGGTGGAGGTCGTACTCCAGTGGCCTAGATGACTGCTCTTTGGAGTTCGGGGCGTTGGGTTAGAGTCTCAGTGGGAACAACATCACTCACTGGTTTGCAGGCACTTCCAGCTGATGAGTCCCAAGTAGGCCGGAACTTATGTCATGGAATCTACTGCTAGTCACTAAGATAAATACAACCCGCAGATAGTTGCTTCACTCCAGTAGACAGTGCGTCATTTTCCTATAGCGAGAATAGTTACAACCTCTTTTATACCACAGTTCCTCCTGATATCATGAATAACGTTATCGGTTCGCGTAAAGAAAGCATTTTCAAACAGATGCTTTGGAAGTTGGTGAAAATTAACCTAATAATGCGTAGCTCATATAAGAACAATGGAAATCAATAAATCGCACTGTTATTGGAGGGGTTTGTACGGATTTAAATTATAAAATGAAATTTTTAGTGATAATTAACCGTATGAAGTACAAGATGACCGAGTTACGTGCATTCTGGAATACGAGTAACTGCTAATCAGAGTTTCGCAGATTAAAGTCTCCGAAGAATAAGATTTCCTACCTAGCAAACTACGCGTTGATACTGGGTTATGATAAAAAGTGAAATGGAAATACAGGTCATAGCAAGATTCCAATCAGAAACCTTCAAGATACACACTTGATCCTGCGCCAACCAAACAACGAGACCGAACCACTGACCTTAGTCATGGTTTTTTTCCGACTACCTTAAATATCTGTGACCCATAACGGTTTGTTCACCCTAATCAGACTGACTGCACAGCCAGATCTTGTTGTGAAAGAAGTCAAGCTGAATCGGAGAAGAGGAGGATCGTATTGATTATTATTGAGAATATATGAGATAGCTGTAGTTTAGTAGACTGTTGATACTGGGGAATGGCTGAAGGTGAACCAAAAATGTTGATCGTAGTAGGATTCTAACTTACTATTTTCATACACGAAGTTTCCCAAGGAAATTTATTGTGTTGAACACCCTTAGGGAAAACTGTAATATTAGGATACAAGTTTTACTCAACTTGGAATAACTACAGTGATCGTATTGAAATGAATAATTTCTCACTAGTGGTGCAATACGTAACTGGCAGTTAAATTCCACTTTCATTAACATAACTGCCCTAAGTAAGTATCGAGTTACTGAATAAAAATGAGAACAGTTCTGTGTATTTTCTCATCTTATTAATTTGATGTAACCGCTAATGACTACTTCAAAATATTATGCTGCTAATTTGGCATTTATGGTGTTTACAAATCCTTTTGACGAGAGCAGAATAAGTCACGTCAGAATATTATCCTCAATTATTGATTCACTGATTGAATATCATCAATGCATTAGGGGAGGCATCCAGAATAAAGTTATACGCATACACTATCTGTAACAGATCTTATGGATTCAGGCACTTATTCTTTCCACTTACTAGAAGTGTTGCGTTCAAGTGGACTAGGTCGAAACGAAATAAATAAAAATAGAATAGCTATTGTTTTACTTTTATAAGTTGTAATTGGTAGCAAATGATTGTCTTTAGACCGAACAAACTTCTAGAATTTTACTGAAAGAGACGGTTTGGCTAAGACTTCAGATACGCCTTGATGACGAGTACCAAAAAGTGTGAAACCTAGACCCAGCGCTTCCTACCGATTGCATCTATCCAACTAACGTCTATTTCTGATACTGCTTTACCAACTGTCTGCAAGTGTACACTTGAATCAGTTCTTAGACACAAAAGTGCTTGAAATGAGGAGTTACTTTTTAGCAACAATCTGGCCATCATTTTTGTCTCTTAACTTGTCTGGTATCATGTGTGTTTGAAATCACGATTTGGTTGGTTCAAATTTCGTCACATATCCTATCATGTCTTGAATCCAGTCACTTGCCATCGAATTCATGCACACTTGTATTGCTAGTTTCAAGATGATTCCGTCTGGTTAGCTACAAACTGTGACCAAACGTTGTAATTACTGTTATGCATCATTTCAGAATCAACGGTAGTAGAATTGAAGTATCCAGAACAATACATTGTGGCGTTGTGACTCGTCTCCGACAGTTGTCAGTTTCACTTTATGGATTCCAGTGAACAGAGTGCAGCTCGATTGCCAATCTTACATAAACGTTTTCACCAAAAGAGGGAAACATACCTGTCTCTTGGAAAGCTAAGACTATGGACATTTGACCAGGCATCGAAAACTATCAACAGTGTCACTCTTCGCCTTAAGAGAATAAAGGCAAAGAATACTCTAAGTTTCGGGACTACATAATGACTGTTTCCAACAACTCAGCATATATTCATTTCAGTCATTGGAATAAGATGTCGATTTGCTATTAAAGTCTAATGATATAGTAGTCAATAATCGGATGTTTACATTGATGACACTCGAAGAATTGGATAAACTTCAATGTTAACTGGTGATGATAGGCTAAATACTGAGCTGTTCACTAGTGAATGCCGATATCGTTCTTCAGCGCTTACATAATTGTTAATGATCCTTATGTAAAGAGCTTGAAATCGAAGAATATTCCCAGTTTGTCTGTTTTCAATGTGATGACTGTTATAACTGTGCACTATGCGGAGCTAAACTGGATAAGAATAGGATCAGTTCATGTTTGCTTCAACAATACGCAAGCGACATTCGTAAATCTTTGTATTCTCACTGTGATACCTAGGAGTCCTGAATCAGATCCATCAAGAGGTCGCAATTCTACACTCCTGTTGACTTCTGGTGTGTAATGAAACATCCATCTTGTGCTTCTAGATTTTCAAAGAATTTCTGACTGATCCTGATCCATAATGAAAACCCCTTCGGTGTTCTGATCAGTTTTTATGCATCAAAAGTAAAAAAAACTCGCTTCAAGTGCATCTAGATAGTGAGTATCTCTTAGTAATGTTAACAACCAGGGGGTGGGCGTTTAACTACTGTTTATCGAAATTGTTGATCTACTGAACTCATATAAAGTTGTATGAAGATACATGCAAGTTATATATAGTTTTCGGCTGGATAATGTCATCCAATCTTATGTCGTTCACTCACTTTAGGCACCAGCTGTCAGCATATCTAGCGAATTTACTTAGTTTGACGCATTATACTTGATCTAAAAACATGTAATATCTCATTTTAATGCTTTTGAGTCTACTATATAAGGAACGTTGCTTTACATCATTTTGTTTCTTATGTGTACACTTAGACTAAATGTTTCTTCAAATAATCTGACGGAAAGTTAAAACGTGGAACTATCTTAAACAGCCATTACTACTATCACCATCCCTATCGATAAAAAAAACACCAGCACCAACAGAAAGGATGTCTACAACATATTCACCGATAACAGTAAGTTTTTGTTTCATATTTTGATTCACATATGGCTGTTTTGTGTTGGAAATGAAAGAGTATTCATTGTCAAATGTTCCTGTCGTAGTGTTTTGCTACTGACTATAGAATTTAATAAGATGCAATTTTACTGAAGTAAATCACCTCTGAACCATACAGAGTTGACCACCATTTAGTATTTTGCTATTATTTATCAATACTCATAATTTGCATTTGCTTTACTGCTTCAAAATGATCCATGTTTGTTGACAAGTCAGATCCTGTGCCAGTGACTCAGTGTTGCCTAGAGATTAACTGTGTCATTTCGCTTGGGGATAGTTAGTAGGGAATTCCAAGAGCCAGCTTTCGTTCTATTTAAGACTAGTCAATTGCATGTTTCAAACAGGATGTAATGTTTATTCTCGGTTGCATTACTACCCACCAATGAGGGAATTCGGTAGTTGCGAATGCTTTCATCGTGACGTGCATACACTGAACACCAATCACACTTAGCACAAGACAGTCCAAAACTGCTTCACGCGAAATAAAATTAATTATCAGCCCCAAGTAACATTACCGAGAAAGAGAGGCAAAGCCCTTGTTTTAATTCTTCAAATCTATAAACTTGAACAGCGCAAAACCTAAACGTGTAGCAGGATAAACGGAGCCCATTCTTGTTAATTTAAGGATTCTTCCTAACTGTTTACAACCTGAACAATCTCTAAATGTAAACATAACGGAAATTGAAGCTGACAAGACGTTGATGACGAGACCAATTCATGACATAGATGATGAGTAACGTTGGTAGTTATAACGGAGGAGGTTGTTAGGAATGTGAGAGAAACAGCGTGACTCTATGTAACCTGATTGATACTGGACACAGTGTTGACAGTCTCAAATCGTCTAAAGTGATAAACAGGCAAAAGAACTCAAGCCTATTATGTTTTGTTGAACAATAGCCATCAGAAGACTCAAACAATTTATTTTCAACCTCGTATTACTGTAATAATTAGTTAACAATAAAATATGCTTAAAATTTTGTCGCGTCATTCTATTTTTCTCGTTTCTGTTCAGTTCCAAACTTCAATCTTGTTTCTGAACTATTTTCACCTTAAGCTTCAAGCTTTTGAATATTCGGAACATCAATTATTTTCCACTCACCTGTGAACCTTCTGTTTTAAGAATATTCACCTAATAATCCTATAGATTGTCAATCTTACTCTCCCGCGCCTAGATATTTCTAGGTTAATCACTTGCATAATCCATGTTACCGGTTGATACTGTCAATAATGTCTTGTCAACTTGATAACAACATATTCAATTCTTGTAATGTATGCATTTCGATATGAACCAGATTGTAAGCATTTGAGAAGAATCCTCGAAACAAATTTTATTTTCTAAAAATGAGCTGGTGTTATCCCGCTAGTGTTTTTTGTTGTACTGTTCAAGTTTGTCTGTCACTGTTTAAAAGTTGATGTAATGGGATGACTTTGATTGTAAAAGTTTAGGTATTTCGGTATTTTTTTCGTCACAGTGAATTGTCATATTAGGCAAGAGCTATATTCAATGGATCATGTTATTTTCAATAGTCTTCTTTAGGTATTGTATGTGGGAAAACGTTTGTAGTAGGTATTGACAAGCAGGTTGATAGTTATTTGGTGTAAAACTAAAGGTTACTAAGATGTAGTCGCAAATTCGTTTGTTCACTGGAGTGTAGCCAACTGCATGTTGTCTAGTCTTGATTGCTGGTGGAAATTCCATCGATCAGTTTGTAATGTGGATAACAAGCTAAAAGACTGGCAACCAAGGTGCACTTTGATTGATATTAGTTCATGTGAGGTACATGTCAGGAGGCACTCATCCAAATAGGTTTCACTTTTGTTGACACACGTGAGTAAAGCGCATCTACAATCGAGGCAAGACTGATATATCCTGTGAAATTCAAACCTAGATCACACAGTGTTGCAATTGCTGACATTAAAACTGGGCTATTCAGACGACAACTGTCCTCTAATGAGACTTGTTCAAAGACATTGATCGTTCACTGCAAAGCAACCAGTTTTGTCTTCAGAGTTATTCGCATTAGTCAGTTATCTCAGGCCTGTTGTTTGAACTGATTAGTTTTGTGAACTGATTTCAGTTCGAGAATGTTATCCCTAAAGAATGAAATGATCACCTGTGTCTGACTGGCGTATAATTTTAACCACCGTGTATTAAAGTTCACTCACTAATGGCAAAAAGTAGTATATGTCAATAATTCGAATATAGTATTTTATAAATACCAGTTTTTATTAGGCACGTTCATCCTAGAACAATGAAATCATTTAGTCAGTTATAAGTACTTTGACGGAATATAACATTTCCTTCTGCAGTCCCTACTGTTTCGGAGTCCGTAATATTGATCATGACTTGAAGTTTGAGTTTAAGATTCATCCAGAACTTTTCGCTTCTGTGAAAAACTGGTTGTATGAGGTTTACTTTACGAATGCTCTACGTCCCGACTCGGTGACGATATTTTACATTCATAATGAAGGTAATAAGACAAGACAAAACCTCGGAAATAGTGTATAGTAACAGTTATTTTATTCAGGTGACTTTGAAGGCCACCCTGACAGTTTCCGATATCACCAACCAGGATTTTCTATTGAGTGAGAAACTACATTCCTAGACGAAATTCCGATAGCTGATTGCTTGTTTCAGAAATTGATAGGGTAGCCTTTGAAGTCACTCTTTTAGTTTAAACAATATTTTTCACATGACATGGAATTCTCAGTATGTATGTATGTATGAAGATATTTTTAAGTGAAATAATCATAACACATCGGTGATGTTAATAACAGTATTATGGGACAATATATGCAACTGTCAGCCGTTGTTTAGTTATCCGATGATCTGAAGGTGGGACTTAACAGGTAAGATACATTATGCCGATTCGGAAATTTCCAAATTGCGATAAGTATTTCAGGAACAACTACATGATGTTCCATGCAGATGGTTCCTTTCAAATAGTTAGTGAAGCGAGAACAACAAGTCTTGAGGAATACAGTGAATCCAGTATGTTTACCGGTCTTCATTTCATCTGACTACAGGTAGTGCAATTCATAAGGATATCAGTTCATTGATGGTAGATAATGAAAGAATTGAAACGGAATCAAGAAGTCTGAGGGGCATAATTTTCTACTACTAAGAATAAAAGCAATTTAAAAAATTCCCATTTCGACATTTAGTAAAAACAAACAACGTCAGCGAAGAAATATTTTTTTCCAATTAATTCCCCATCAATGGTTCCACACTAATATAGCATTTTCAAAACGTAAAATTACGTACCAATCTAGTGGTGAGAGAAAGGTTATCAATCTTAAAGTATCAAGAAGGTGATAATTGATCAGGTAATTAAGACGATTAACTAAAGTATAGATTAATTATAGTAGGAAGATTTTGTGAGATTTTAAACAGGTTCTTACATAATTGATGTTTTGTATAATGGTAATTAAAGAGCGAAAATGAATTGTTACGTAAAGTGGTAAATTGTTGACGGTAGGGGGAGAACGAGATGGCTAAATCTGTAATAACACTAACAATAATATTAATAGTAATAATGATAATGATATCAACAGTAGAGTTATATGCCATTCTAGTGTTGAGGTTGATATGCAGTTTTACATTTTCAAAATGCTATATTAGTGTAGAGCCATTGATGAGGAACTAACTGAAAAGAAATATTTCTCCACTCATATTTTTTATGAAATATCCTAATGGTAATTTTTGCATTACTGAAATCGTCTGAGCATCGAATTGCGTTAAATATCCCCAGTGAGTATCTGAAGTACAGCGCAAGGCTCAGTGAAGCAAAAACTTTGATGAAGTTCATCTATGAGTGTATTCAAACCAACCACTATCCTTAAGCCTACTGGGAATCTCTACGTCGTAACAGGGTTCGACCAAACGGAAGAACACTTAAACGATATGCGCTTAACCAGATTGATTCTCTGAAATCACGCGCAACAGAGTTGATGAAAAAAGTTACAGAAAGATTCCATGCTGTTGAAGATCTCCCACACCACCCGAAACAAGCATTCCTGGAATATGTGAATCAGGTTTGCAGCAAAAGTAAGGTGAAGAAAAGAATTCATCTTATTCAAAGCCTGGACAACCGGACTCCAGAAATCAGATTTCCTCCAAATGCTGGTCCGTATGTTCATAATTTTTCCAATGTCGATCATGATATGGTAGCACTACATGCATCATCTCTAAATCCTAAGTTTTGCGATCGTCATATTACACTTAATATAATAGACAATCAAGTTAAGTTTGGAAACTTATACTCACAGATAGAAGACTTATCACCTTCTAAAAGTGAGGAAGTAGAAATATTCAAGTCTACCCTGGTTGACTGTCGCTACAAAGTTATGAACAGTAAGCGGAATGCTAGAGGCATCTTGACTAGAAAATATAGAGAAACCTTAGGTAAACTCCGAATGGACGATAAAAGTTCAGGGGTGGTTACGAACAAAGTCTAATACCTGGATAAAATGAACAGCCTTCTTAGTGAGCACAGTAAATTTCAGAAACTATCAACCAATACTGATTTTTCCTAAGTGAAATTAGAAAATGGCCCTCTGGAAAGTACAATAAGCGGGTTAGAATTTTACTGCCGTTATGTATATGTTACATTCTTGATTGCGAATAATGAGAACGATGCAAAGATTATACTGGATAAATTCAATAGCGTTCATCCACAGATAACCTCCACCATTGAGACAGAAAGTAACGACAGCATCACATTCTTAGATGTCAGATTGACAAGGAAGGTGGATGGAACTGTAAAAAGAAGTGTATATCGGAAGCCAACGTCAACAGGTCAGTACATTCACTTCTTGAGTTTCGTCCACTTGTAATATAAACGAAATCTAGTCAAATGTTTGGTGCATCGAGCTAGACCTATCTGTTCAGATGATACTTTTGAGCTTCAAACTATCTATGATCTACTCAGTAGTAATGGATATTCAGTAACGTTTCAG